GCGTCCAATAAGCGGCCCCGCAGCTCACAGGTCATCGACTTTAGTCACGAGAGCCGGGGAGCCAGCATGACAAAGTGGACGCTGTTGGATCGTGCGTTGAGTCCTAGAGTTGCCAAGAAGCACAAAGAAGATTCGGCTACATCGTTTTCCCCTACGGCTACGAGTTCGCCATATGTGTAATCCTCCCACCCTAAACCCGAAACCCGAAACCCTGCATGTGGAGTTAAAGTCTCGGGTCGAGGGGTTAAAGGGACGCTTCTTAACCCTACTTATGGCTCTCTTACAAGGGACCTTATTGAGAGGGTCTACCCTAAACCCTAAACGAAACCGCAGGTTAGGGTTTAGAGTCCTATAGAAGTTCTATAACTCTTGTAAAGACCACAAATGTTCTACAAGCTGGAACCCTAAAGCAAAGATTACACACCCTAAACCCTAAACCCCCAAATACCCTAAACCCTAAGCCCCCAAACCCTAAACCGTATACCTCCTCCGGGTTTCAGGGGTTCAATCTCCAATTGCTTAAGGGTGTTTAGGGGTTTAGGGTTTAGGTAGGGTACATCTTCAAACATTCCGAAACCCGCGACCCCCCGAAATCTCTGTAAAGCACAATCAAACCTCCTAGACTTTGAATAGGGCCCCAAAAAAGCACATAAGCGAAAATTAGAATCCGGATATCCCATATAAATCCCCTTGTAATGAAGCCCAACAAGGAAGGGATATCCCTATAAAAAGCTTATGCTTATGTGCTTTTTGGGGCCCTAATTGAAAATCCTAAAGACCCTAAACTCTCAGCCATTAACCTCAAGATCACGCGCTTGAATACCCGTAAACACCCCAAACCTTAAGCCTTATAAGCCTTAAAGCCCTAAACACCCTCAAAGCCCCTTAAGACCTGAAAAAAACCTAAGCTCTGAGCGCATCAGGGTCTCTGCTTCCTTGTCGAAATCGGCGGAGCGCGACCTCGCCGTCGCCCTCTATCGGCTCTTGGTCTTCGCACCTCGTCTCAGTTGAAGGAAACTACAGGTGGGGAGTTTAGGGGTATATAGGGTTTAGGGTTTAGGGGTTAAGGTTTAGGGTTTCGGGTTTAGGGTTTAGGAGTCACTACAGGTGGGGAGTTTAGGGGTATATAGGGCTTCTGTAAGACTTCCAAAGGTCTATAGGCCTTCTACAAGGCTCCTATAACGGTAGCTAGCTCTCTCAGATGGCTCGTAGGGCTTTGGGTCTAGGGGTTTAAGGGTTATTAGGGGCTTAGGGCTTTAGGGTTTTAGGGTGTAGGGCTTCGGGCTTAGGGTCTTAGGGTCTTAGGGCTTAGGGGTTTAAGTTTCATTAGGGGCTTAGGGCTTCAGGGTTTTAGGGTTTAGGGCTTCGGGTCTTAGGGTTTTAGGGTTTAGGGTTTGGTTTACTCAGATGGCTCGTAGGGCTTTGGGTTTAGGGGTTTAAATTTCACTAAGGGCTTAGGGCTTTAGGGTTTTATTGTTGTGGGCTTAGTCTAGGACATTTTCAGGTGGGTAGTTACCGTTATAGGAGCCTTGTAGAAGGTCTATATACTTATAGAAGCTTTATAGAAGCCCTATATACCCTAAACTCCCCACCTGTAGTGACTCCTAAACCCTAAACCCGAAACCCTAAACCCTAACCCCGAAACCCTAAACCCTGTATACCCCTAAACTCCCCACCTTTAACTTAGGGCTATAGGCTTTTAGGGTCTGAGGGTTTAGGGTTTTTGGTTTGGTTTACTCAGATGGCTCGTAGGGCTTCCTGCTCTTTAAGGTTCCTTCTTGTGGTCTCTATATATGTAGGTTCCTTAAAAAGTGGGCCACCAGTAGCGCTTGGGTTTCGTGGCTTAGGGCTTAGGGATTTAGGGTTTAGGGTTCTAGGGCTTAGGGTCTAGGATTTAGGGTTTTGGGGTCTTGGGCTTTCGGGGTTTAGGGTCTTTTGCTTAGGGCTTCAGGTTTAGGGGTTTAGGGGTCAGGGGTTTCGAGCCTGGGGCTGGGTTTAGGAGTACGTAGGGCTTAAGTGGGTTTAGGGTTTAGGGCTTTGGGGTTACAGTTTAGGGCTTAGGGTTTAGGGTTTAGGGTTCAGGGCTTGTGGGTTCAAGGTTTTTTGGGCTTAGGGTTTGAAGTTTGATCGTTTGTAGTCTTCTTCACGATGTTGGTTCTCTACTGGACCCTAAACCCCCTCAAAAACCTGACCCCTAAGCCCTTATTATTTTGGCTCGTAAAATGTATGGTTCCGAGGCCGGAGTTTAAGACAGAACCTGATGAATAAATCAATCTGGATGGGTCTAAGTGTTCTTATTTTCGGATCCCTTGTGGTTAAAACCTGAAACCCTAAATCCTGAACTCGGCTGTTCCCGAATCTGGTGGGAGCCTGTTGCAGGGTTGGGGGCTTCAGGTCGGAAACCCTAGGCCCTAAACCCTAAACGGTTCAGGTTTTCGGATTTAGAGGCCTTTGGCTCCCAATACTGTAGAGGCTTAGGTAGTTACCAATAATATTCTGGGGGTTCCTCATTAACTATCATTATCGTGTAATATACCCCCAAAGCCCTATTCTAATTATTAAGGCCCCCTATAGTGCCTCGCATTAGATCCCCTACGCTGGGGCAATTCGCCTTGATCAGGAGCTCTGAGAAGACTTTGACGTGCTAGAAGAGGGTTTCGGGATTAGGGTTTAGGGTTTAGGGTTCAGGGTTTGGGGCGACTCTGCTCTAAACCCCTAAATCCCTAAACCCTACAACAGTAAAGCCGGAAAGCTTTGAGGCTGGGTGCACAAGTTACCCCGAGCTGGTCAAGTGCATGCGCGGCACGCTCCAGGTGGCTCCACTCAGGGTTTAGGGTTTAGGATTTAGGGGCCTTTCGTGGGATCAAGGTTCTTGCGGCTTCTCAGATTTGTTGCTGCAAAAGCCTGCTAATTGTCAGATGTCTGTCTCATAATTCGGGCAGAAGTTTTAAGCACTCCAAAATCTTGTTTTGTCTACTGCGACCCGTGCATTGGGGCATATCGTGATTTCTTGAGTGATCAGGCTTGAGATGCTCAATGTTAGAGCTAATGTTCGGGCCTTATTCTTAGAATAGGGTTTTGGGGTATATTATGTTATAATTGAAATAAGGAGCCCCCAAAATAGTATAGGTAATTATTAAAGCCCCTACAGTATCCATGTTTGGCTTCGTCTTTGGGTCATGGCTCAGGCCAGGGTTCAGGTTTAGGGTCTAGGGTTTAGGGGTTTAAGGGTTTAGGGTTCAGGGGTTCGGGGGTTCAGGGGTTTAGGGTTTAGGGTTTAGGGGTTGAGGGGTGCAGGGTTGAGGGGTTTGGGTTTTTTGTGGTTTAGGGTTTAAGGGCTTAGGGGTTCAGGGGTTCAAGGGTTTAGGGTTCAGCGATTTAGGGTTAAGGGGTCTTGGGGTTTAGGGGTTTAGGGCTTTAGGGGTTCAGGGGTTCACAAAGGATCTCCACTGTCGCCCACAGGTCGCCAGGACCGCGATCCCAGACCCCCAAAAAGATCTAAACAATAGATCCCCTAAAGGGGTTCCTATAAAGTACCCTTTAGTAGTTAGGGTCCCTAATTAGGGGATCTATTTTTTAGATCCTTTTGGGGGTCTGGGATAGGAACGTTCGTGGCTGGCGCTGTGACATCCATACGTGCTGAAGGCCCTGAGGCCCTGCCAGTGCTGATCGTTGAACTGGAATGCAAGGGTTTAGGGTTTAGGGTTTCGGGTTTAGGGTTTAGGGTTTAGCTGATATTTTTGCGGGGGGGGTTCTTATTATAAGTATAGTATAAT